AGAGCGGGGGGAACTGAGGGGAAACTGAGGCAAACCTGAGGGGAAACTGAGGCAGAGTGGGGGAACTGAGGGGAAACTGAGGGGAAACTGAGGGAGAGCGGGCGGAACTGAGGGGAAACTGAGGCAAACCTGAGGGGAAACTGAGGCAGAGTGGGGGAACTGAGGGGAAACTGAGGGGAAACTGAGGGAGAGCGGGCGGAACTGAGGGGAAACTGAGGCAAACCTGAGGGGAAACTGAGGCAGAGTGGGGGAACTGAGGGGAAACTGAGGGGAAACTGAGGGAGAGCGGGCGGAACTGAGGGGAAACTGAGGCAAACCTGAGGGGAAACTGAGGCAGAGTGGGGGAACTGAGGCAGAGCGGGGGAAACTGAGGCAAACTGGGGATACTGGGGGCAAACTGGGAGCGGGGAAAGGGGCGGGAAATGGCGCTGGGGGATGGGGGGAGGCTCCCAGTTTGGTTACTGGTCCCAGTCCGTTCCCAGTCCCTCCCAGTCCGTTCCCAGTCCCTCCCAATCCGTTCCCCGTCCCTCCCAGTCCATCCCAGTCGCTCCCAGTCTGTTTCCAGTTGCTCCCAGTCCCTCCCAGTCCATCCCGGTCCGTTCCCAGTCCCTCCCAGTCCCTCCCAGTTCACTCCCAGTCCGTTGCAGACTCGGCCGAGGTGATCCAGTCCCGCCTGAACGAGCAGGAGGCGCGGGAGGAGTTCTACGTGCACTACGTGGGCTGTGAGTGAACTGGTTTATACTGGTTTATACTGGGAGGGACTGGGATGGGGCTGGGAGTGAACTGGTTTATACTGGGAGGGAACTGGGATGGACTGGGAGGGACTACAGGACGTTCCCAGTCACTCCCAGTCCAAACCAGTACAGGACAACAGGGACACAATGGGTACAGTGGGTACAGTAGGGACGTTCCCAGTGCTCCCAGTCCAAACCAGTGCTCCCAGTTAACCGGCGGCGGGACGAGTGGGTGGGCCGGGAGCGGCTGGGGGGGTTCCCAGGCCCCCCCAGTCACTCCCAGTCACTCCCA